CACAGCATACAGATTGAATAGGTGTGAAGGGAGAACACAACCCTGGCACCTCCCTTCCCAATTCCAATCCATAGAGTGCTCCCTTGCTCCATTTGCACGGCAGCCTCCTCGTCCAGGTATAGTTTTCTGCATGAGCACAGTCAAGTTCTCTGGGATTCCCACTCTTCTCAATGTCAGTCACAGCATGTGATAATCCACAGAGTCAAAAGTCTTTGCTTGGTCAATAAAGCACAAATGGACATTCTTCTGGTATTCCATCCAACATCAGCAACGATATCCCTGGTGCAATGGCCTCTTCCAAATTCTCCTTGAACTTCTGGCAGATCCCTATATATGTACTGTTCCAGTCATTTTTGAATGATCTTTAGCCGTATTTTGTTTTCATGTGATATCAATGATACTGTTCAATAGTTTCCACATTTAGTTGGATCACCTTTCTTGGGAACAGGAACAAATATGGACCTCTTCCAGTCCTTTCAATTCCAGACAGCTGTCCTCCAAATTTCCTGGCATAGACTGTTGAATGCATCCAAGGCTGCCTCTGTTAACTGAAACAAGTCAATTGGTATCCCATTGATTCCTGGGGCCTCATTTTTTTCCCAATTCCTTCAATGCAGCTTCTACTTCCTCCTTCATTACCATTGATTCCTGTTCATATGGTTACTTCCTGAAGTTTTTCCATTTCAGTCAGTTCTGATTCAGTGATTCTGTGTATTCCTCCATCTTGTTTTGATGCTTTCTCAATTTCAGGAAAACAAAGATTCTTACCACTGGATCAATAGGCAGTGACATGATGGATGGAGAGAAGATTGAAACTGTCAACAGCTTCGTCTTGTTTGGGTCCACAGTTAACACCCTTGATTCCAGTAGTCAGGAAATAAGGAGACACACTTCACTGGGAAAATCTGCAGTTAGGGATCTCTCATTCTGCAAATTCTTGAGGAGTAATGATATCAGTTTGAGGACTAAGGTGTGTCTCATTCGGGCCATAGTCTTTCTGATCACTTGCTATGCAGCTGAGAGCTGGACAGTGAATAAGGGTGACAGGATAAGAATTGATACCTCTGAGCTGTTATATTGGAGAATACTGAACATCCATGTACGACCAAGAGAATGAACCGATATGTCATGGAGAGGGTGCAGCTGGAATCAAGAATAATGAGGCTTTGCCTCACATACTTTGGGTATGTTGCTAGGAGGGGCTATTACTTGGAGAAGGTTATGATGCTGGGAAGAGTGGAGGGTTGGCAAAGAGGAAGATTCTCAACCAGGTGAATTGATATGATGACTGTTGCAATGGACTTCTGTATGTCAGGAAGTGTGAGGATGGCACGGGATAGAACAGGGTTCAGATCTCTTATTCATAGAATCTCTATGAGTCATACTTGTTTTATTGGAACAATCTGTGGTCAACTGCTATTGAACAAGGAAACAAAACCTATCACATGCAGAAATGACAACCTCTTCAACAAATGGTGCTGGCAAAAACAGGACCACTACCTGCAGAAAGCTGAAGCAGGATGCACACCTCTCACCATACACAAAGATCAACTCAAGGTGGATTAGAGACCTAGGGGTAAAGCCCCAAACCTAAAGATCATAACAGACAAAGGTGGACCAACCTTAGAAGGCCTAGCTCATGGTATAAAAAAGGCTGACAAATATAAATAATACAATAAATACAAACCAGGAGAGGATAAAATTGATGAATGGGACCCTCTAAAGATTAAATCACTGTAAGCATAAAAAATATTTTCCAACAGGGTGAAAAGAAAACCTACTGACTGGGAAAAAACATTTGGCAATACCATCTCAGACAAGGGTCTCATAACAAAAATTTACAGAATCCTACAGGGCCTTCACAAGAAAAACTGACAATGCAATTACAAAATGAGCAAAAGCTATGGAAAGGCTTTTCACAGAGGAAGCTATTCGGATGACCAACAGACACATGAAGAAATGCTCAAAATCACTGGCAATAAGAGAGATGCAAATCAAAACCACAATGAGATACCATCTCACTCTAGTAGCAGTGGCAAAGTTTAACAGGACAGAAAGAAATAAATGTTGAAGAGGATGTAAAGAGATAGGAACTCGCATACATTGTTGGTAGGGTTGTAAAATGGTATAACAACTCTGGAAGGCAGTTTGGCATTTCTGGAGAAAAGGTGAACCAAAATTCCATATGATCCAGATATTTCACTGCTTGGGATAATTTTAACTGAGATGCAATTGAAGATTTGTACACTAATGTTCATAGTGACATTATTAAACATCGCAAGAACATGGAAACAGCCAAAATGTCCAACCACAATGGAACGGATTGAGAAATTGTGGTACATTCACACAATGGAATATTATACAGGACACAGGAGCAATGGTTTTTTTAAAAAAAAAACCAAAACAACAAAACTACATAACTTGGGAGGGACTGGAGGGCATTATGCTGAGTGACCTAACTCAGTCTCAAAAGGATAAATGCTGTATAAGACCATTATTTTATAAACAGAAAGAAAACTAGTAAAACGTGTATAAGGATCAAATGGGGGAAGGATAGGAGCTGAGGGGTGATGATGGGGAGGGGGAAAATCACAGGGTCCTACAATTTGTTGGGTAGAGGGTTGTTGTTGATGGCCGTCGAGTCAAGCATGACTCATAGCGACAAAAGGCCTGAAGCCTTTCTATAACTATCATCATTTATCAAAGTTCATAGAGTTTCCAGAGACATGTCGTTTAGGAAGTGGATGCCACTCCTGCTTCCAAAGGGGTGGATAAAATAGGAAAGATCCAGTGGGAACCTGGAAAGACAGGGCAATGGTGGGCATAGTTCAATGCTGATTAATTTTTAAAAAATATAATGAATGGGAATTATTGTATGAAAAACCATGTGAATGAAAGATAGTGTGAAAAACAATGTATATGAACTTTGTAAGCAAATCAATATAAATTTTTAATTAGAAAAAACAAAACAAACAAAGAAAACCCAACAGAGGCTTAGCTGAGTCAGCTCCAACTTAATGGCACATCACAGCAGCACCTGGTGAAGGGAGCTCTGCTAGCCCAGGGGATAGGGAGCTGCACTGCCAACTCCAGTGGTGGTGGTGTTGTCATGTGCCCTCGAGTCGCTTGCGACTGATAGCGACCCTATGTACAACAGCCCTAAAAACTCTGCTCTGTCCTGTGCTAATCGCCCTGTTTCTGATACACCCATCCCGATTACCCCAGTCACTGAATCAATCCACCTCATAGAGGGCCTTCATGAGCCGCTGTGCGGGAGAAAGCACAAATCTCTTCCTCTGCCATGTAATAGCCTCTGAAAACAACTGGAGGGTCAGCTATGAGTTGGTTCCAAATTGAAGATGAGGAGTTTGAACTTTCTGAGTGGCTGGTGATCTTGAGAATTTCTTCATGTCTTTGTTGGCCATCTGAATTTCTTCTTTAGTGAAGTATTTATTCGTGTCCTCTGCCCGTTTTGTGATACTGACCCTTGACCTTTGACCTCTGGGAGACTGCATGGACACTGTGCTCCTCTGCCCCATCCCAACCACATGTGACCACACCCTATAACATGGAGTTTGTCTCCACGGTGGCTCCCTGGAGGAGGCATCACACTGCCTGGGAAAACGGAATTAAAATACTTGTCCAGTGCTAAGAAGGTCTGGACAGTTGAGCTGGGTTTGTCCTAAGGGTAGTCTGCAGCCCAGAGATATATGGGATTGTGAACAGGCAGGGAATTATAGACCCATTGTGTGGGTACTCTGAAGTAGGTGCAGTCCGGTGGAAGGGGACGCTCCTGCTGACCCTCTGAGGAATGTGCAAGGATTTGCGCGGCCTCTGTCTTGGGAACAGGAACCTTCCTACCCAGCATCCCTCATGCCTTGCCTTGGAAGAGAAGTTCCCAGCTCCTCTCCCCACTAAGAACCTGAGGCTTGGACCTCCCGAACCCGAACCCATACCTGCTGTTTACACCAACTTCATAGTGACCCCACAGGACAGTGCAGAATGGCCCGAGTGTCCCCAAGAGTGTGAAGCCTCATCTTTCTCCGCAGTGGCTGGTGAATCCATACCATTCACCTTTCAGTTCTGGCTCAGTGCCTCTGCATCACCAGGGCTCCTTTCGGACTGCCTGGGTTCAGATAACCCGCATCAGAAGCTGGTCCTGCCCTTATAAAGGTGGACTAGCCTTGATTGCCTAGATCTGGAGCTATGTCCCAGCCTGCACAGGACCCGGCAGGCCGTGAACCGCCCGTCGCTGCAAGGGAGGCGCGCATGGGACCCATGCCGGACGCACCAGGATCCAGAAACCCTCCCTGAGGCTGTCTCACCTCTCCCGGTTACACGTCTAACCAGACGGCCCTGGGACCCCGGGTCAGCCAAGGCGCATAGGCCCTACGTGTGTCCCTAGGGCGCCGTGTCCGGCGCGTCCAAGCCCCTGCCGGGTCAGGCCGCTGCTACGTGCGCCCGGAGGCGTCAGGAAGGGGCGGTCAGCGCGTAGGGCTGGAGGTAGCACGGGTCATGTCAGGGCGCCCCGGAACGACCTGTCTGGGTGCAGGATCCCCCCCCCACCCCACGGCTCGCAGGCGCGGCGGGAGGCCCCGG